TTTCAAATGGAATTCAGAAAAATTAAAATAGTAAACATTGAATTTGGGAACAATACAGAAATCGAGAATTAATAAAATGTATTTCATTGAGCCCTAGAATGTAATTATTGTTAAACTTGTTAAATTATATACGTTTTATGATTTCAATTGATTAGACATGCTTTCTGACTACTACAACTTATTTTAACCATTAAAACTAGAAGAGAGAGAGAGAGAGAGAGAGAAACTAATTCTAGAAAAATTAAAATGAAAGTTCCAATGTCAGTAAAAATTATGAGGGTCCTTGGAAAATTGGCCTAAAAAAGTTTGAGAACCCCTAAAAAAAATAAATATATATATATATATATATATAGTTTTAAAAAACTACTAGTTTACCGCCAAACGGATCAATGTTTTGATAACGTTTTAATGACAACCAGTATCACTGTACACTACAACCACTCTATTTGTATCATTTTACTGTTAATATTTATTATGATAATACATATTAATGCCAACACTTCACAAATTACATTTATGGATGTAAAACAGATCGTATTCACTCTTGTATGCAGATCTAAACGTAGTAACAGAGAGCTGAGTAAATGATTCCAAATAAGGTTTTGTATTTCGATAAATCAGATGAATTCATGACCACATCAAAATATTCAGTTAATTGAATTTCCTCATCTAACCCACAAAGTGCAGTTTTCAATGTGTTCAGTCTGTCTAAAGTAGACTCAACAAACATTAGAAAAATGAAACATTTTTCATATATATCCATAACTTACCTGTGAGTGAATATCCAACGTAATCTCATGATAATTTGTATGTATTTTACGTAAAATGTGGTACTATAAAACGTATTTACTTACGTTTTTACAGGCACTAAAACGTACAATACTGACGTATTTTCAGCATCTAAACGTACAAATACTGACGTATTGACGACACCTAAAAATGAATCCTTATGAATATTGAAATCGCGGCATTCATTTTATTAGTTTTTAGTTGTCATATGAATTACCTTGTTTTCAGTTGTATTATTAAATTGTTTACTCATCTACTTATGAAATTATAACATTTCGTTTTGTTGTGTGATTTCTGCTGCCAGCTCGTTTCCAAGAATATGCCTACATAATGTTAAACACGACTTTAGTTTAAACCTTAAAAAAAATACCATTTCTGCAATCGTTTAACATTTACTTGTCATGTAATGCTTACTTTGATTGCCATGGGCCACAAAAGGCGTTTTCTCCGACTTTGGGGGTAGGTTAAGGGGTCTAAAAATCTAAATTGTGTATTAATAAAATGATAAAAATGCATGTTCGCTATAAAATGGGTAGGTTTAGGTTTGGGGGTAGGTTAAGGGGTCTAAAAATCTAAATAGCTTATTGATAAAATGATAAAAACACATTGATATGAATATCTTAATGATATAAAAGATACGTAAATATTTTTACGTTTTTTAGCTAAAAATACGTAGCGATTTGTACGTTTTAAACGTTGAAATACGTCTAAATTGTACGTTTTAGCATTAATAAAAACGTACAAAAGTGTACGTTTTGTGCTTGTAAATGTTACGTATTAATACCTACGTATAAACATGAGACCAGGCTGGAATATCATGTATTACAATGCTTCAATTAGGATTGTTGTTGTTGTTGTTGTTTTTTGTAAAGCGTTAAACATATTAAAGTCAAAGTTTGCTCCCATCAGACTTTGACCCTGTATCATGTGTCTTTGTGCACGGGTTTTATAGAGTGTAAGCCAGTTACATAAGGTGCACTGCATACAACTTCAATCTCATTTATAAAGTATCTCAGTTCTGACTGTTGCTATCCCAGTAAGGCATTAGTATTAAAACCCTTATCCAAAAAAGGTCACTGCAAATCTTCTTGTTGATACAGTATTTCACTCACAGTAATGAACAATTTGGAGCCCCATGACTCCCAAAAGGCTCCATACACAATAGCTGGTGAAGCTCCAATGTTTAGTAAGTTGTCAGTGAGGTATGTTTAGTATGTTGTATTTCATGTACAATTCACAATTCCACCTGAAATGTTCTTTATGACACATATTCACACTAGTTCAAATATATTAACATTTTGTTTACTTTATTTATTGTCTATTTACTGACATATCACTTGATACTTACTGATATAAAAACGAATTAAACTTTATTTGGAGTACTACTTGTGCACAATGCACATTTCTCAATATTAAGCCTAAAATGTGTTTTAATGTCACTATAGATGAGTATTGCATGATCTTTGAATAATATCAGTCTTTAAATGCAAGACATTTTAAGTGTACATAAAGTATACTTTCAATAGTGCCACTTTTGCACAATCATATATACTTCAGTGTATCTTTAGTTAGACTTCAGCTCTACTTCCGCACAATTAAAATGCATTAAGTACAAAATCAGTTGTTCCAATTTAGCAGACTTTGAATATACCAGTTTAGTGATATGTAAATAATATGCAAATGTATTTGTAGTATAGCATAAAATATATGCATTTCAAATACATTTTTGTATATTTATTTTTCACTACGGAAGGCATCTGTAAAGGATTTTCAGTCGCCCATTTGGCCAAATTGTTAAGTGGCTGAGATTACTATTTCAGTCAAATCAATCAAATTAACTAAGTTGATGTAAGGGCTTTTTATGTGATATTTTATTTAATTACAATGGATTGTTATTTCTTTTAAACTCATTAATGTAATATTTTGTTTATATTGTCAGCAGATGCTCCCATGTTTTTATACACTAAATAAAACTGAATAAAACATTGTTGCCATCAGTACACAAAATCAGATCAAATACAAAATCAGATGCGAACATATTATTGATGATTGTTGACCCCAGTCAGAGAGGATGCCGTTGGTTATGGCGAGACGTTTTTACTTATATTCCTTCACAGGATATGAATTCTTGATATCAACAATTCAATTTTCACTTGTTAAAATGTTAATTCTTGACACAAGGAATTGGATTTCTACTAGTAACAATGGCTATTTTTGATATCAGGAATTACAGTTCCTCTAGTAAACATGTTAATTCTTGATATCAACAATTATATTTTCACTAGTTAAAATGCTAACTATTGATATCAGGAATTAAATTTCAACTAGTAAAAAATAGAATTCTTGATATCTGTAATTGTATTTTCACTAGTAAAATGTCACCATAGGCTGCCATTCAAATTTAATTGTTGATACATGTCACGATAAGGGGTTTTGTCTTGGTTCTCTCCGGACTCCATTCCCCATAAACCCCTGCCTAGGAACTCATTATTGCACCACACCTGTTTCCTATTAGTGACACTATAAAGGTTGCACTCATCCACACACACATTGCTGATTATTGTTTAGCCTGTATCCTGTTCCGAGTCTCTGTGTTTCCTTGCCTTGCCTTCTTGTTTTCTGACCTTGGACTGTTTATTGGCTTGCTCTTTTGTCTCGCCCTGGATTGTACCTGTTTGCTGGTGTTTGACCCTGCCTGTTTTGACCACTCTTGTGAATAAAAGCTGCATTTGGATCCTCAACTCCGTTGTCACGCCTCCCACGTTACAATACCAAGAAATTATTTCTTACTAGTTGAAATTACAATTTCACATATCAGAAATAGTAAAAACCTTTGTTTTTGATATCAGTAATCACATGGTTACTAGTACAGATGTCTATTCTTGATATCAACAATTGAATTGCTACTAGTAAAAATCTTCATTTTTGATATCAATAATTAAATTGTCACTAGTGACAATGTTAATTTCTGATATCATGAATGTGATTGTTACTAGTAACAAAAGTCATTTTAGATATCCGAAATTACTCTCCCAATTGTTGATATCAGAAATACATTTTCAGATATCAGAAATAACAAATGTAACATGTTGAAATGTATACTAGTAATATGTAATACTAGTAAAAATGTAATTATTGAAATCAAAAATTATATTTCTACTAGCAATAAATACAAAGCTGATATGTGTATTTAGAATTATAACTAGTAAGAAATGCATTTTTTTTTAATATATGTAATAGTTTTGTCGCCCTTTTAACATTTAAATTTTTTGGTTCCCAGAACGTTCTCTCTAGGTTACAAAAATAAAACGTAAAAATAACCTGCTAACCAAAAGGGAACGTTCTTGAGCAGTGCTGTCCAAGTGTGTCGCACAAGCACTGGAAAGTGAAGCAACAACGATTGCCCCCCAGGTGGCTGGACCAAGTATACAGTAGGTCATAAACCCCACCCTCTCCATGTAATCTAACGGGACGTGAGACTAAAAAAATCCAATTACACTACAAATAATTTTTTTTCAAAGATGTTTTCTGTCATTTTATGTCATTTCACGCTGATGTATGTTTAAGTGTTCATTTTTCGTAAGTTTGCTTTAGCCACGCATACGGAGCTATGTGATGCAAACGTCAACATGCAATAGTTTACAAATCAAAGACTATGGTAAAAGCGTTTTTAGCTTCATAACACGAAAAGTAATCGATAATCTGCTACTGTAATCATAGTAGCCTATGTGTGAAAAGGAATAAAGGTTGGTGTTTTATTGCCATTGGCGTTAATTTGAGCTGTAAAGTGCAGCGAATTGTATGTTTTGGTATGTTTTTCCAATTTTTTGTTGTATAATTCCTTTGAAATCGTAGGGGAGATCAGGATCGTTGTAAAACGTTTTGCTCTAACATCTATAAACTATAAAATCTATAAAATATTCTTTCAGTTATGTTTTAATCGGTGTACTCATGTACTGATCCAATTATTATGCAGAAATGTACAGGACATTCTCAAACTGTGCAAACATTTACGTTTTTATTTTTTGTATAATTTTACAGATTATGCATAATAATAACAAATTTTCAAAGCTAAAACATCACATAAAACATTATGATATTAACATTTTCTCATTTGGCTAATAGCAGCTGCATACAACATATCCGCCTTTCAGAAGAATATGTATTACACCGCTTTGTTTTCATTGTTTACTTCATATAGTATCTGGGTTGTAAATTCATTCATTGTAATTAACAGGTGAGATGATCATTGGTGCTGAATCTTTACCAGTATCATCAGAAAAGGGGCAAAAATATGAATATAGTCGATTAGTGAAAGACTGAGCAGTGAAAGAGTAGATTTGAGATCTGGACTCCACATCATAGAAGGTGACCAGACCCTCCTCATAATCCACAAACACACCCACCTTCTGTGGCTTCACTCTCAGAGAGAGATAAACACAGGGATCAGCACAAGCCCAATATTCATTCCCATTCCTCAGAGCCACAGCCCAGAACCCATCCTGAGGACTCACTCTGATCTTTCCCTTCCTGTTAATAGATTCTCTGGCCACTCCTAAATCCCACTGACTCTTTCCCTTCAGCTGCACTTCAAAATAAAATCTACCTGACAAGAATCCCTCTTTTCCCAGGACAGAGGCACTGTAATTAAACCGCTCTGGGTAATCTGGGAGCTCATGCTTAATGTCTCCATGTCTCACTTGTTTCCCATCATTAGACAGGATGAGTTTTGGATGAGCTGTATCAGGATCCAGAGTCACATCCACTGAGAGAGAAATCAGATAATACATTTTAACAAAGGAGTACATTTTAACAAAGATCTCCAAATGCTTGGCAGAATAAATGTAAACTATCACTATACTATGTACTGTACGTGACGAGTAAAAATCACACATTGTACCTGCATACTGCTGCATCTTCCTCAACACTGTGAAGTCAAACAGTAATAAAAAGATTTTCTAATTTTGTATACAAACTGTTGAATGTGTCTCATACGTAATTTTACAAATTCTATCAATAGCATCTAATGATCTGTGTGCTGTATTTGATATTGACCTACCAGTTTGACTGAGTTTCTGGTCTAAAGTTTCCTGCAGTTGAGTCAGAGCTCTCCTCAGAGTCTCCACACTCACATCAGTGTTCATACTGATCTCAGGCCAGTTCCTGGTGTGTGGAGGACTGCACAGGGATGGATCAATCTACAGCAGGAGAGAAGAGAAATCCCTCAGCGTGAGGAGTGTGAGTGTTGTCCTGTGATGAGAGCAGACAGAGAGACACTGACCTGTAGGAGCTGGAGGTGATCCTCAGTGTGTAAGAGATGATCCAGCTCAGTGTTTCTCATCTTGAGCTCAGTGATTTCCTGCTGCAGCTCTTGAATGAGCTCTTCATCCTGTTTCTCTGCTGTTTTCTGCTTCTCCTCCATCATCTCCAGCAGCTCAGCCTGACATCTTTTAATAGAGCGCATCAGATCACTGAAGAGCCCAGCATTAGCTGCTTTCACTCGCTCTGCGCTTTTCTGGAAAAGTTATATTTTTAAATAATTGGCTTCATTTACAATATCAAACCAAAACATTATTCATTAAAGATTTAACATCTTCAGCTCACGTTTCTGAGTTCTGCAAAGTATTTAATGTCTTGAATCTTCTTGATTCTGTCCAGGATCATCTGCTGCATGTCTTTCTGTGTCTTCATTAGCTGAGTCTATAGAGAGACCGAAATGAAGAAACATTTGATCACATCAGCATCTTCCATCTTCTGACAAAAGATCTAATTGCATTATTTAAAATGAGGTTATTGGAATAAGTTTCAATGTTGTTAGTAACTCTTGCCTTCTTCTCTTTACTCTCCTCCTCTAGAGGAACAGTGTTGTGAGTCTTGTGGTCTCCATCAGTGCAAAACACACACAAACGCGTCTGATCATCTCTACAGAACAGCTCCAGAGGTCTCTCGTGTTTCTGACAAATATAGTCCTTCATATTCTTCACAGGGTCAAGTAGTTTGTGTTTCTTTAAATAGATTTTGTGATGAAACTCCAGGTGAGTTTCACAGTAAGAGGTCTGACACAGCAGACAGGACTTCAGGGCTTTCTTTTTTCTTTCATCACAGATGTCACAGAGAACTTCAGATTTACTCAGACTGGACTTTTTCTGAAAGAGTTGCGCAACCTGTCTAAGTGCTGTGTTGATCTTGAGGTCGGGTCTTTTACTGAATGTTTCTTTACACAATGGACATTTGCAGTCCTGACTGTTGTCCCAGCACTGGTTCAGGCAGCTCTTACAGAAGTTGTGTCCACATGGAGTGCTGACTGGATCAGTGAACACATCCAGACACACTGAACAATGAAGCTCCTCAGCCAGAGGACCACTGGAAGAAGTCAGAGCTTAAAACAAGAGAAATAATAAAAATGTATCACCTCCAGTTCATGTCTACATATGTTAGATCTTATATAAAGAATATTATTACTTGTACAGTAAAAAAAGCAGAAATTAACTGTCATTGTATCGTTTGCTTTATCCAATAAAACTTTTAGCGATTGACTTACTTGGATGGTCATCCATACTCTGTCTGTATTTTTGTGATTGAAAAAAATCTGCCATTGCTCTGCTTTTCTTTAGGCTTCGTAATGAAAAAGAAAAAAAAAAAAGTCACAGCACATATTTCATTTCACAGCATGAAATCTCCACCCCCCATATCCCCTCCTTTTTTGTTGCCATAATGTTTCTCAAATCAAACCAATAAAATTGTATTTTAAGGTTAGTCAGTAAACATGACCCGAGATGACCCCAGAAGCAGAAGTATTGCAATGTCACTAAAGTCAGCGAAGGGGATTTTTTACAAGAGCTTCTAGTTTACTGCCAAGGTCAAATTTCACTGACAACCAGTCTCACTGTAACTCTAAAACCACTCTATTTATAACATTTCACTATTTATTAAGAATTTACATATTAATGCCAGCACTTCACAAATTAAATGTATGGATGCAAAACAGATTATATTCACTCTTGTATACAGCTCTTGACTGTTATTAACATAAAGCTGAATTAAATGATTCCAAATAAGCGTTTTATATTTTTATAAATCAGATGAATTCATGGCCACATCAAAATATTCAGTTAATTGAATTTCCTCATCTAACCAACAAAGTGCAGTTTTCAATGTGTTCAGTCTGTCTAAACTGGGCTCGTAGACTAGTAACGAACATTAGAAAAATAAGACATGTTTCATATATTTCCATAACTTAACTGTGAGTGAATATCGCATATGTCTTAGAGTGCTTCAAATAGGATTTTGTTTTTTAAGAAAAAAAAAAGGATAAGCATATTAAGGTCTATTGTCTATATAGGCTACAATACTTTCTGGAGCAAATCAGACTTTGACCCTGTATCATTTGTCTTTTATGGATTTGCATTTGTGACACTGTAGGGCTATGTTCATAAACTGATGTGTGAAAAAATGGTAATCATACACTGGAAAAATCTAATCCTTAATCAGTATCTTGATCTTGTATCACAGCAACAACAACATTTGAACATCAAATCAAAATATTTACACGAGAAGCAAAATTGTACTAGTTTGTAGCAGTGTTGTTATTGTTAAAAATAGTTTTTTTGGTAACTGAAATAAAGCTAAAACAAATATTAGATGAAAAAACAAACTTAAACTTAGAAATCAGAAATATTGCGCTGAATTAAATAAATAGGTTGAAGTACTAAAATGACTAAAAGAAAAGAAAAAAAAATAATACTAATGACATTTATAAAAAAATTTTTTTTTTTTTTTTTAATGTATTACATAAACTGTATACAACTCCAATGTCATTATATAAAGCATGTGAATACTGACTGTTACTATCACAGTAGGGCATTAGAATTAAAATGCTCAACCTAAAAGTTAATTAGGAATCTGCTTGTTGTTCTGCACATCACTTACAGTAATGAACAATTTGGATGCCCATGTCTTTGCAGCACAGCATCCATGTACAGAAGCTGATCAAGTTTAGTATGTTGTCTCCATCTTGTGGACAAAGAATTTCAAGGTTAAGTAACAGGGAAAATTACAGACTACACTACTGGTAATAATTAACAACAATGACTTTTATTTGCTTTATTAAATAATAAATTGTGAAATAATTTGTATTATTATATAATAACTTACAGAGTGAAATGCCCTATGTGGGACATTTATTTTGCATTTCAGACTTCTGTGACATTGTGATGTGTAGCCAAAAAAACATTAAATCCACACCCAATACCATTTTAAAAATCAGGACCAAGCCAGGATGTGTCCTAATTAAATGTGTTTGGTCTTCACACAAGGTGCTTTTTGTTTGATGATTGCTCCACCCTCATATGTGACACTGGACCACAAAACCAGTCATAAGTGTAAATGTTTCGAAATTGAGATTAATACATTTTCTGAAAGCTGAATAAATAAGCTTTCCATTGATGTATTAGGATAGGATAGGACAATATTTGGCCGAGATACAACTATTAAAAAATCTGGAATCTGAGGGTGAAAAAATCAAAATATTGAGAAAATCGCCTTTAAAGATGTCCAAATGAAGTTCTCAGCAATGCATATTACTAATCAAAAATTGGGTTTTGATATATTTACGGTAGGAAATTGACAAAATATCTTCATGGAACATCAGCTTTACTTAATATCCTAGTGATTTTTGGCATAAAAGAAAAATAGATAATTTTGACCCATACAATGTATGTTTGGCTATTGCTACAAATATACCCCATCGACTTAAGACTGGTTTTGGGGTCCAGGGTCACATATATGACAGGACATTTGAGAGTTTTGGCTAACCCAGAGTTTCACTGGCATTCATGTATTTATGGGGGAGCTAGAAACACTTGGCATTAGGCAGTGTCCCACTTTAGGGCAATTCACCCTACTCAATATTAAGATTGCACTGCTGAATGTGAATGTATTATTTTATATGAACGCACACTTAGTTAATTCATACCAACAACAACTGATCGGATCTATCATATAAGGGCCGTTCACACAGACATAAATGAGCAGTCAACAATGCGTTGAACACCATTGGGAGTGAAACCATTTAACTTCATTCTACGCTGTACATTGTCAAAATACTATTTGCAAGTCTAATTAGTAAGGCACATTTATAAAGTCTTTGCAATGAATAGTCATGCAGAGCAGTGGTATCAACAGCATAGAAATGTTCAGAACAGCAGTTGGAAAGAGAAAAGGCAAGTCGTGAATAAAATGGATTTAAGTTGCGTTTTTCCCAGTTCACTTCCATCTCGCATTTTTTTCAAATAAAAAACGTCAGTGTGAATGGCTCCTCAGAATGCACAACATCTGATTACTGAGGCAAAACATAACACATCTTGTAATGGAGAAAATATCCTGAATTTGCTAACATTGAAATAAATGTGACAAACAACATAAGAACTCTAACCTTAACCATTGACGACATCGGAAACATGTAATAGTTGTGTTAAAGCAACTATATGAGCACATTACCGCCTAAAATCATTGTGTAGTGAAAATAGACTTTGTGAGAGGAGTTTCAGTGCCTCCTTTTGGAGGCAAAACATGTTGCACATGCGCACATAACACTACCGATGGAAAATGAGAAATTTCATGGCCTATGGAAGGATGTTGGTGTAATTCAATTTGCCCTCTACAGGTGTAATGATTCACCATGCTGCTGTTCTCACACAATCATCTATTAAATACCAATTTGCATCCACTTGGGTTCATGTAGACTAGTAACTAGGATCTCATGATAACTGCACAACTTCTGTGTAGCCTAAGTATTGAGATTTTTCTTTTGTTTTAGGATTTAATGCTGATTGTTTGGCTTTGGTTAAATATTAAAATAATTAGATTTGGCATAATTAATAATTGCAATTAATATTCTTCTGCCATGTAACATATAGCCAACATGTTGCCAGACAACAAATAACTTGGTGCATTCATACATAATTTCATTTATGCTTTAAGTTTACAGATTTTTGTTGTATTTTTCATTCAAAAATTGCTTTTTTTTGTATTTTTCAAAATGAGTAGCTATGGAAACTGGAGTTTGTTTTCTCTCAAGAGTGGGTGGGACCTCTGTGTTTTCCAATCAGATTTTAGAGCAGAAACTATTTGTAATAATTTCCATGCTACTACAAATAGAACAGAATCTGTATTGCAGGAATATTGGATGACTTTGTGCTTGGCTTTTGAATTATGAGTATTGTATATGCTCAGAAGATTTTACAAACAGGGGCCACATGATTTATTTTAGATTAGTACGAAAACCGGTAGTACCAAGTACCAAATTTTCCATTAGAAAGATTTCATGACTTTTTACATTAGGGGTAACATTAGGCTACATTGGTTAGCTGAAAGTGTATGTTGGCTGTGGGCTGTGCAAACGTTGAAAACTGCTTGGCTCACACATTTATTCTTTTAGCTGAAACAACTTTATGGCCATAGATTAACAATATGGAAAAGGCAAGCAATTCTGTCCAGTTTGAGTAGCAATGTACAAAAGAGAAACTAAAAAATATATATATATTGTAGTGCAAAGACATCCTTTTCTTTTGTCATCTTCGACAGCAGGTGGCGCTGAAGTATGTGTTTTATACTGTATGCTGAACTGCAAACTGGCTTTTAAAGTGAACACTAGTCCTGTTTTACGGAGAAAGTTAGTGTAGAGATGTTTACATCTGTTTCCCCCACATCATTGATTTTTGTATATGTACTTTTAATTCACAAAATATCTAAGATAGGATGTGTGACATTTAAATCTGTAATTTTTTTTAAATGTCATGCATTTCAGAGATCAGTTGTCAGTTGTGCTACTGCAGTTATAAAAGTAATTTTTTATTCATTGTAATCCCAGTTGAAAACATACTGTAGGCCTATCACAGCTGATGCACTGGTTTTCTTGACAGTATATGACTACATGAACATTCTCAGACAGGAATGCCTATTAATCTGCATTTTGGCTAAGGACAAGGCCTAATTTGTGTCAGGGTATCAAATGCTTCGATACTATTGGCTGTTTAATAATTCAGTGGAAAATATGTTGGCAGCATGTGCTCATCTCTGTAAGGCTCCAGTACTTCAACTGAAGAGCACTATGCTTAACTTACCTGAGATTTCATCTACCATTAGAATTGAAGAACCCTGCAACAACACACTCGCAAAACAGCTATAGCAGCGGCTCACACACTCGCCTGCGCTTGAAGTGAATTGAAATAGTGAGGACGCAGCATTATGTAAATACAGGCCCATTCCCCTCTCCAGCCCTCGGAAAATTGGATGATGTGTTACAATGATATCGGAGTGAAAGGAGGGGCACGGTCTCAGGTTCCCATCAGCAGCATTTCCTCCTCTTCTGCCATCTTACTATCCTCTTTTCTCTTGCCCTATGCTTTCCTTTATTAGATGTGCCCGCCAAACCCCACAATAAGTATTTGCGCTTGCACAAGAGAGAAGGCTCTGACAGATGTGTAAGATGCATTTTGAGGGTGTGGAAAAAGCCAGGTCAGTTTGAATAAATAAATAGATTTTTGTTCAATATGTAAGTAAAGGCAATGTAATGTAATGTAATAATTCTAATGGACAAGGATTACTTTGTAAGAATAATGATTAGTTAAATTTTTGTAGTCTATCCTTGATTCATAAAGTGGTCATTATCTAGGTACTTATGATCTTTCTCTTTCATATCG